GAATGAATGAATGAATGAATGAATGAATGAATGAATGAATGAATGAACATCTCATTTTTGTGTACAACATAAAAGGAGTCTTATTGACATTCCATTATAGAATATTTGAAATGTCTTTAAATGTATCCTTTCATATTTTATAACACTAATCCTTCTTCTTTTTTTCTTGACTAAATACTTAAAAGGGAAAACTCTGTATTAAGCTAGCCTGGAGGCTGGAGTTAGAATATATATAAGGGAAAAAAATTACCCACTTCCCTGATTCCCCATTCATATCTTTGCACTAAAAAAGAAGCAAACGCCTTACAAATACAACATAAGTAATGAACAAGCTTTAACTAGTTCTACAATGTCTCAGCTGAAACATTATATCAGGATTACATAGTTCTGGGAAGGAGCAAACATGGCAGAGTTAATTATACTGAATAATACAATTATAGATTTATGCATCACACTAAGATGCAATATGATATGTTTATTTTTGATTTATACACACGATCATCAGCAGGATGGAAAATAAATAGTATCTGAAAAAACTCCGACATATTGTCACCATGAATGATTCTTTTTAATTCAGGTAAAAACAAAGCCAGTAGTTTATCAGATTTCCACTAGATGGAGCTTTCTTCAAATTAGTTCAAACTATTTATTGTAAACAGAACAGGTAAACTATCTCTGCCAAATATTCCTCAGAACAATACCAAGAGTTATACTTTAAACATTTTTTAAAAAGAATTATAATTTTAACTTCAGTAAAATTAATGAGTTAATAGTTTTAAGGACTCTCTTAATGAAATACAAGGTAGGAAAAGAAAAGGAAGAAAGGATCAAAGCAGAAATTTCAACATGGGGAAAATACAATTTTTCCTTATACATAAGCTTAATGAAGACTGGAAATCCCTATTGCCAGGTTTCATAAAAAGCACAAGAGATGGGTAGAAGCACAGCTTAAGGACTTGTTACAAAGCAGTCCTGACATTTGTAATCTAAGAAATTCAGATGTTAATTGACAAAATATCTCCTTTTAAGTTTTGTTGGACAATTCAAAGGTACAAACCACTCTGACATAAATTATGAAAAGAAGATCTTTAGGGTTCCCAGAGCTGTAGAGCTAGTCCACTGAACCTTTGTACAAATGCACCTTACATAAACACAGGCCCCACCCTTTCTTGGTTTTCCTAGAAAACAAGGGAAACTTGGTTCATTCCCTTCAGGTAAAGTACAACTTTAGTCCTCAATTTATGTCCAAAATTTACCCCCAAATTCCTGTTGCTAAGTGAAGCATTTGTAAAGTGAATTTTGCCCCACTTTACAACCTTTCTTGCCATGGTTGTTAAGTGAACCAGTGCAGCTTTTAAGTTAGGGACACAGTTCTTAAGTGAATCTGGCTTTCCCCATTGACTTTGCTTGCAAGAAGGTCGCAAAAGGGGATCACAGGACCCCGGGATATTGCAACCATTGTAAATATAAATCAGTTGCCAGGCACCTGAATTTTGTTCACGTGTCCATGGGGAGGCTGCAATGTTCGTAAGTGTGAAAAATAGTCATAAGTCAGTGCTGTTGTAACTTTTGAAAGTTCACTAAATAAACTGTTGCAAGTCGAGAATTATTTGTATTGGTAACAAAACCAAGATCAATTATCAGAACCCATCTTCAAATAATTTTGGAGGGCAAGAAAAAATGAAAAGGAGGGGTGATTGGCTGACCTTTATTGGACATGCTCTAGTAAAGGCTAAAATAAACCTTCCCAATTCTATGAAAATTATAGACAAAATGCATATTAGTGCAATGAATACAAATGATCATACAGTTTTTTAAAATCACGGATGAAAAAACAGAACTGAATAGCTTCTATTTTAATACATGCAAACACTAACACAGTGAATTTTCCAGCAAGGATCTAGTAGAGACTCATGTAGGTCGACTCAGCCTCCCAGCCTTCCAAGGTCTGTAAAATGTTGGAGGCAATATGCTGACTTGGTAAACTGCTTAGAGAAGGCTGGAAATCTCTGTGAAGTGGTATGTAAGTCTAAGTGCTATTGCTATTCTGTGAAAAAACATACTGATAAAATCATACATATTTTGCAATATGAACAAAATTGGACATGGGAGAAATCAAGATGGGTGATGGGATTTAGTTATAGGGGAAATTTTAGTTATGGTAATACATTAACATTTGGGACCAGATATATTACACATATATTGTACAATATATGGTGAGTCAAAACACCTATGCAGTACTCAGAAATACAGCATATGTTTTTGTCACTGCTTTCAAAAGCAAACTTTTCTGAGACCAAATCTTGGCTGAAAAGTAAGTTATAAATATGTTAAATGCAATCAAGCAATAATTATGCTAATATATTTGACTATTTAGCAGATAAAGTAAGCAAGTTGAGCTCAACACAGAGTTTTATATATCTTTGAAGTGATGAGTTTCTGAGAATGATTACTATTGGGGACTATAATCTTTTGGCTCCAAGGGGCTCCAAGTCGTGAACTGTTTAAAAAGCAATCAGATATACATTCAACAAAAATAGTCTCAATCCTTCAAATATGATTCAGCACTCCAAGAGACAAATAGGCAGTTTGGTGTAGTGGTTAAGGCATCAAGCTAGAAATTGGGAAACTATGAATTCTAGTCCTGACTTAGGCATAAGCCAGCTGGGTGAACTATGGCCAGTCACTCTCCCTTAGCCCTAAGAAACAGGCAAAGGCAACCACTTCAGAAAAAATTACCAAGAAAACTTCAGAGACTTTCCAGGAGACAGCACTTATTCAAAAGTGCAAATACATGCACAAACAAACACAAACACACAGAAACTCTTTGAAAGAAATAATCAGGAGTTTCCTGCAAAAACACATGAGATTTCTAAGTGATATTTTGATCTTTGTTTTAGCTGGTTGACACTATATACAGTACTATACTTGATGCATACATAACGTTTTTCCATCCCATCAATTTTATCCTTACAACAACTCTGATAAGAACATGACATTAAAAAATATCCAGTGTATTTGCAATAGTATGCTATTGTTTCAACCTAGCTTTTGAACACAGGAAAAATTCAAAATACAAGGTGGTTTTCGGATGGATATGGCTGCTGGACAGAAGCTTCCAGCAATCATGCAAAACCAGAGTGGGAGAAATTTATCTATCGAGAAAATATGAAAGAAGCAGATAGCTGTTAACTGAAAGAGCGGTGTTGAACATATGTGAGACCAAACCAAGAAAGAAATGGACAGGATATTTTAAACTTCAAATAGGAAATTAATATATATTTTTATCTTATTGCCATTGCTCCCCTTTAATTCTCTTCATTTTGCCTTATGTGGAATCTAAAATCTACAAACTTCTCAATTCAAGTATGGAATGAGGTTCCTTGCCCACTTTCTGGACAACAACCAACCGTTCCAAATCCAAATGGCAGGGTGAAAATTATTTTAGCGTTGTTATGTGTATAACTGTTTTTTCTATTCAGCTTTAATAAAACAATCCATTTATCATATTACCTTCCATAAAAACCCATTTCAGCAAAGAACAAAGGTACTTGTGTCTTTTAAAAGAATATGACAAATTTCTTATTCTGATTCGATTTCCATTTTAAACTTATTCAATGAAACTCAACAATATATTGTTTTTCACGTAGTTATAGCAATGAAAATGTTAAGCAGGACGAGGGAAGCTATGCAAACCTCAACAGAGGACTAAAGGAACACACAAGGAAAGAGACCCCAAAAGCTTGTACACTATTTCTGTGAGAGTGTATTAGTTTAAAGGCACTACCTTTATTGGATCAAGAAAAGAATTTAAACACACAGTCATAGTTTATAATCTCCCTTCCTTAAGTCAAGGGAAAATACCTTAAGCCCAAAGAAAAGAAAAGGTTAGATGGATCTAAGCAATATCATTTACAGAAATCTGCCCAGGAGCACTGAAACTAAAAGTTGCAGCTGTATACACAGATAGAGTCAGGCAGAGATAAACTTAAGGAAAAGCACAGAAAGCAGAGTAGTTTTTAAAACCAGATTCTGCAGACACTAGCTGCTACAAAACTGTTCAGAATAACACAATTATATATGTCTTAAAGGCTGCCCAAAAAGGGTAGGAAAGAAATGTTTGCTGTTCCTATAGTTAATTAACATTTTAAAAGCCTGTATGATACAATAGCTTAGATCAGGGGTGTCAAACTCGATTTCATTGAGGTCCCCATCAGGGTTGTTTGACCCTGGGGGTGGCCAGGGTGGGCATGGTTAACTCAACGACACTTGTGTTGGGGTACCTGTGGTGGCCTGGGTGCTCTGCCAGCTACGACGGCTTCCTGCAACCCTCTGCTCAGCTCCGTTTTCACTGGCACAGGCACCACGGGCCGGTCCTTCGTTGTTTCCAGGTTGGCCCCGCAGGTCAAATCTAAGCACCCCGTGGGCTGGATCCGGCCCACAGGCCTTGAGTTTGACACCCCTGGCTTAGATGTTTAGATTTTTTTAACACTGAGCACTCACATACTGTGAACAAGGGAAATGCATATTTGTAATCTGCGGTATCAGTTTGAATGGTAGCTTTGTAATATGGACAAAATGCCAATTTGGGGCTTGAGTTGACACGATCAACCCTGCTTAGGCCCAGCAGAAGCCTACTGTTGTGCCAGTGTACAGAATGAATCTATTAAAGAAATCTCAGGTGGGAATTTATGTAGCAAACCTTATTGGAAATGTGCTGTCATCTCTTTTCGGCATGAGTGCGACTTGGGGAGAAAAGGCGGCAAGTGGAATTCCCACGGGGAGAATGAAAGCCCGTAAAGATGGGAGTTTTTAAAAACTAAGCATTTCGTAAAAGTGCTCAGTGTTTGGCGCATTGCAAAAACTCGTTTTAATTGCAAATTCAAGACAGAAACTATTTTTTTTAAAAAAAGTAACATGCAGTCTAGGGCTTTCATTCTCTTTTCAAATATGTACTCATAGGTTGTTCCACAATACTCTCCGTTAATCTGTGGTTCCATTATTACTAAGAGCAGAACGCTTGAGCATGCTCTGGCATCTTTCTCATTTCCTTGAAATGTGTAGAGCTCGACCTCCAAGACTAAAGATGCAGTTCTGGAAGAAATGTAGTGAGCAATAACACATCAGCTAGGAAGTTATGCTTGTTATTTTTCCTTCCTCACTAAATAATCATAAACTGCAGCCTATCTGAGGAAAAACTTTCAACTCATGGACAGTAATGCTTCTAAATTTTCAATATTATTATAATAGACTCAGTTTAGTCTAGCGGTTAAGGTACCAGCCTAGAAACCAAGAGTTCAAGTCCCGCCTTAAGCATGAAAATCAGCTGGGTGACTTTGAGCCAGTCACTTTTTCTCTCAGTCCAACCCAACTCATATGGTTGTTGTTGTGGAGAAAATAGGAGGAAGCCATGTTGGATACATTCACTACCTCTTATTGATGTAATGGAATTCTGAAAACAGATATCCTGAACAGCAAAGAACATGATGGAATGAGAATAGGATGGAATAGTTAAATAAAAATTGGGTGTATCATTTAAAAAGTACAGCGAGAAGAGATAAAGAATTAAGATGGGTCAGGCAGAGAAGGCAGAAATAAAAAATAGTTAGCTAGGACACTTGCTGAAAAAGTCAGGTGTGTTGGATTGTGTGATTAACCAGAACTGCATTCTTTGAGAGAATTCTTACTTTGTCAAAATGGCCATGTAGGAGATGACCAGGCTGAGCCTGAGGAAGGGGTCAAGTATGTCATCAGTCTCAAGTCCATTCGCATCCACAAGAGATCTAAATCCAGCCCTCCTTCAATTCTGTTAACCCTTATCTACTGCAATTTCTCCTTGACCATTAGTAGTTCAGGTTTTTGTAGATAATAAACTTAATGATTATTTGAACAGCCTGATTTCCTGATTTCTTGCGCCCGATAGGCCATTTCTTTTTGATACTATCTTCTATAAATATATATAAGTTTACAAATTTTGCTACCTACATTTCTATGTGTGGGAAATTTAAGAACAACTCACTTCATCCCATTTGGCAACTAAATTTGGCAGCTAAGTCTGATTTAGAAAGTTCAGGAGACCATTGGAAGGAGTCTTAGAATCTGGATCACAGAATATTTTGGTCAGTGTATTCTAGGAGTCAACGCCTTGTAGAGAACTCCTGGATTAATCTTTAGCCCAAGGACAACTCAGTGATATATGGCCTCATTCCAAAGGAAATGGTTGGTCAGTCTGGCTCAGCATAGTCCCAACGGACAATAACTGTTTTTTCAGGTTTCCATAAAGAGAGCTGTTTGCAATGATTGCGTTTTATGACTGTTTTGTTGAATACTGGGACTTCCAGTATTTGTACCCATAATGAACTGGTTCACTTAGCAATCCCAGCATTGATTTTATGACCCCAGCATTCACTTAACAACTTGTTTGTTGACCATCATAACATTTCATCCTAATTGGCAGACTCCATTACAGTTATATGTTGAGGGCTATCTGCATTGTAAAGTCTAAGAACCACTTGATCTATGAGATTGTGCAGAAGTGGTCATCAACAGTTTAAGAATATGGTGTCCTGTTCTATTGCACTATTATATCTAACTCAGGAGAGGATGTTCTGGATCTGGGTCAACATTTGGATGCAATGGCCAGCAGGACGGAAACTGATCTGATGCTGAATGTACACTATATAACAGCCCATCGATAGGTTGCTTCCAGATGCAGAAAACACTTGCAGAACTGCATTCCCACAGAAATTGATACATCGCTTAGATATATTCATGGATCAAGCAGAGTCACTAAAAGCCTAATTGACAAAGGCCTTCAGTTGATAAAACAATTATGTCTCCCCCTGGATAGGGGACAGCTTAGGCAATTGATACATGCCCTGATAACCTCAGTTTTTAATTACCGTAATGTATTCTGTGTGGGACTGTCAATATGATGGAAAGCTAGGCTAATGCAATATTGAGCAAGTTACTGCCACTGCAATATAATGTTATTTTAAGAATTTTACTGGCTGCCACTTTGCTACCAGGTCAGGTATAAGGGTGTAGTATTAACCTATTTGAGGTTAAATATGTTCAGTCTGCCCAATGCAATCATCCTCAGATGATGCCTGTAGCTATTTCATCTGATGCCATGCAGAAAAATACATTATCAGAGGTAGCTCTAGTTTTTAGAATCTTGGTTGGACAGAAAATAAAGTAAATAATTTAGGGTAAGCTGATTTTTTAAAAAAATATCACCTTGACATTTACAATTTCATAATTGTATTCTTGTGCCAGCTGTGACCATTTTCGCAAGACAAAATGTATTTTATAATGTATTGAACTTATTTTAAAATGCTATACGCTGGGTAGATTTTTAAGACATAAGTACTCTTAAAGTTTTGCTCACCGTTCTGCTCAACTGAGTTCTCAAGCAAGCTTACAATAATTTTAAAAAGTACAAAAAGTTTAAAAATAGACTAAAGTTAATACTGAAATAAACTAACAATTAAAAAATACTTTGAGACATTACTGAACAGATGTGAGAAAACTACATTGATTTGATTTTACTTGACCTTTTATGATAATAAAGTATCCCTGAAGACCTGTGCAGTCCTACCAGCCAAGATTTCAGAAACAATTACTAATAATTAGAAATACATCAATGCATATAATATAATATCTAACAGTCCCCTTCAATTTTAGCTTAATTCCTGATAACGTTAAGGGTTGCTTGAAGATTTTTGCCACCATCCTGGAACTTCTTAGCAATTTCACTTCCATATATTAGCTGGGTCTGCCAAGCCTAAGCCAGGTAGGACAATACCACGTGGATCTGCTGGGATATCACATTCTAGCAAGACCCAACCTAAGAGAGAATTCATCTTAACATTTCCACATATTGTTGTGGTTTGCTGGCAGCAGATGCAGACAGTTGAGGTCTCTGACAGCAAGACTCGGACGAGGGGCCTGCGTGTGATGCAGGGATGGGCCCAGGACTATCGGAGGGTGGCGTGCTGCCTTTGGAGGTTGTGGAGTCTGGCAGCAGTGACAAAGAGGATCCCAGGGAGCTTGTGCTCAGTGTGCATGTGTGCAGGGCTGCTCGAAGGAAACAGCAGCTGAAGCAGCACGGGCGACTCAGGTGTAAGGCTGGAAGGTGATGGCCCCTCTCATAAGGGATAAAAGCCAGCCTTCGGGGTTGGCTTCTTTGCAGGAAGCAAAGAAGTTCTTTATGCTCAGAGTTCTCGTCGAAGTCCTGTTTACTCCAGTTTGTTTTTTGAAACTTCTGGCTTGGGATATTTATCTGCAATTAGTCTTTTGTTCTTGGCAGCCTTTCACAACCTTGAAAGGGCTTCACTTACCTGGGACAATTAGTTTGAAATGACTCTTGGCTGTGAATGCACAAAATTCACAGCACCACATTAAAAAAGGTTTGCTTTTATGAACAATTTGTGTTTGTTTGATTTGAACAAGGTTTGGGTCAGCACACATATATAGAGTCTTTGGTGATCTCTGAACTCTGTTGCTTGCTTACCAATGTTTCACTACCCAACTAGGCAATATCATCAGTCGTCAGAGTCACATTGAGGATGAATCTAGTTGTAGAGTGAAACATTGTCAAGAAAACAATCAAGTCAGAGAGCACCAAAGTCTCCACAGTTCAACCCTGAGCTACACGTATTCTCTTCTACTGATTCCCACACATGCTGAACTTCTTACTTTTTAAATAATAGAACTTTAAATAATAGAATTGTCAGTAGAAAACTAACAACTGATGAGGCCTTTGGATATCTGATCTTGGAAGCTAATGAATTAGTGAGTATAATTAAGACTCTAATACAATGCAACCCTAAATAACATTTAAGAATCATTAGACTAGGAAGATTCATGTCTTCAGAAAATAACATTCCAAAATTATTTTTACAGGAAATACCAAATAATGTTACAGCTTGCTACAATCGTTATAGTTAGACTATGAACAAATACGTACAATGAAACACAAACACGAAAATATGTTTACTATAAAGGAATACATTTATCAAACATTTTCTTCCAGTATGTCATAGACTAATTACTTAACAATCATTGTCCACAAATAAAAATGGCAACAGAAGATACATTTAATAAATTCTGACTAAAATCTAGTGGAGAAACCACACGGATATTCATATTTGGGAACCATACTAAGCATTCGACATTTTAAAAACATTTCTTTACAATTTAAAGACATTCTGAGCTGTAGCAGAAGAGTTTATTACTTACTTCAAATGTGTTTCCAGTTTCATCAATCTCTGGTGGGACGAAAGCTCCTTCTGGATCATCTTTAAAAAGAATGTTAAAACATTAAAATCAATTCAAGACAGAGCAAAAATCAATAAATAGTAATATTTTAGCTTAAGTTTAAAGATGTTGGTTTTTATTTGGAGCGACAAGCGTTCTGATTTTCCTCTTTGTAATATATTCTGTTCTTGTAAATCGCCTGGAATCTTTAAAATTTTACAAAACATATAAATGTATGTGATAGATAAATTACATACAATGTTCCAAATCATTTAATATAATTGAGTCTAATTTCATGTGAAAAATATCTACATTAATGAGCAAAGCAAATTTTTTCAGACATAAAATCTACAACATTTTCTATGTAATACATTATACAGCTTGGGTGGATTGAAAATAAATATTTTTGGCATCAAACTTTAAATGGAGTATTGGAAAAAGAACTTGCTGTCAATATGTTGATCAAAGAATGTATTTGCATATCAAGAGTCTCAATTATTTTGTTTTAAACATTCAAGTACAATGAAGAGACTATTCATAGTTTTCAAATCTGCTCAGTTCATGCTTTTACACATCACAATTGAAGCCACTGCCTCATTACTAAGAGAGACAATTCTATCAGAACATTTTCCACAAAATGTGTTCCCTTGTCATTTCAACAATTACATTGGGGTGGAATGAAATATAAAAATGTACTGTTAATGCACTTATGGGGAGATCTAGCAGTCACAGTAATGTTGGTATTATTATTTTTAAAAGTGTGTGTGTGCGTTTGTGTGCGCTCGTGTGTGGATTAAAAAGCACAGAACAACCTTGTTGAAGATCTCTGGGGCTGTTCCATTCGTTTAATGTTTAACAAATACTGTCAATCATGTATCAATATATTTCAGAAGAATACTGAGGAATTTGTTTACATTTAACTTCATGTCCTTAACATTTATAATGTATCAATTTCTAAAAAGCAATAAGATCTATAAAGTTGAGAGAAGGGGGGGAAGAATCTTCCAGAGTTCTAATTCCCCTCTATAAAAATAAATGTCTTGATATTTAAGAAAATAACAGCATGACATCCCAGCATCCTCTGTCATCCTCAAATATCCCTAAGAATTATTAACTACATAAATCTTGAAATGCAAAGCTCATGAAAGAATAAATGGAAAAATTAGGGAAAGTTTCATAATTCTGGTTCCTGTCCTGCACTATACCAAGATCTTGCCCATAAGCAGGACTAACTAGGAATCAAGGTCCCAAAATGGGCAAGTCAGAACCTTGCCTGTGCAAAAATCCAACCAGGAACCAACACCACCAAAACAACCAATCAGGATCAAGCACAAGCCCTAACCCTGACCAATCAGAAACCAGCCCCCTGTAACCTGTACCAATAGGAAGCCAGCTTAGCTAAAGACCAATCACAAGTCAATTCACCTGGCTGTAAAGATAGACAGTCCTAGTCAGCCACTGTTTGCAGACTACCTTGTTTCTGAAGATGCCAATATGGTGGAACCTCAGGAAGTCTATTATCTAGATCATGGTGATGAATCCCTGAAGCTCAACACAGCCCAACAGATACAAATAGTCCTTGATTTATCACTACAATTGGATCATTGAGCACAACAGTGACATGTCTATGTGACCACTTTGCTCAATGACTGCAATTCTAGCTCTCTCGGCTGCAGTTGTTAAGCAATCATGAAGTGCCACAGGAGGTAGGGGAAGTCTGGCACCCACCATCACCCATTAACCTGTCCTGGACCTCAGTTAGCTACAGCAGGGGTCTCCAACCTTGGCAACTTTAAGACTTGTGGACTTCAACTCCCAGAATTCCTCAGCCAGCTTTGTTGGGAGTTGAAGTCCACAAGTCTTAAAGTTGCCAAGGTTGGAGACCCCTGAGCCACAGGGCCCACTGGTGTGCAGAAACCTGTCACAGCTCCTGCCCCAACCACATCCAGGTCCATTTACCTTTGCCTTTTTCTGCAGCTGCAGAAAACAATCACCTTCCCAAGCTTTCTGGTCAGGAAAATAGCCCGTCTATCCACTGCATCGTCTATCCACTGCCGGGGGAAGAAGCCTCTTCTGCACGTTTCCAACCTATATGGTCCTGAACTTTCCTTTGCCAGTTGGGCCCGCAATACTTGCTAATGTCCTCACTCCATCTTGTTTTAGGTCTCTTTCAAGGACGCTTTTTATCAAGTGGGGTCCATTCTATGACTGCCTTGGTCCGCCTGCCATCAGTCCTTCCTGCTATATGACCAGCCCAGTTTCATTTCAATTCTTTTACTCTCTTGACGGCATCATATATTTTTGTTTGTTCTCTAACCCATGTGCACATTTTTCTATCTTGTCTTGTAATGCCAAGCATGTATCTTCCCATGGCTCTTTGTGCCACCCTTAGCTTTTGTACTGATTGTGAGGTTAGTGTCCATGTTTCACTGTCATATGTTAGAGCAGTCTCAGCCGCCTCTGGGATAACATCCACCCATAGGTTTGGCTTGGAGTTTCTCAGCTGCCCACCCTCCGCCTATAGGCCCAGCACTCTCTGTGCCGTTCCACCCTGTGCCTATCCTTGCCCTCTATTTTCCCAGCCCCGTGCGATCCTGGTGTCCCATCTCACAGTCCTGTTTGTGTCCGGTCCCTTGTCTAGCCCGCGCCTGCAATCACTGTGTCATGTGTCCCCTTTCACATCCCATTCCTATTCCCTCCCATGTCCCGGCACCATCTCCTGATGTGGCTGTGGTGGTGGCTTCCGGGTTTTCGCAGTGTGGCCTTGGTGTGTTGGCTGGCCTTGGCCGCGGCTCCTGGATTCCTGGCCGCCTTTCCAGCCCCGTCGAGAGGTTTGGCCAAGCGTCACCAGCTGGTAAGAGGTCCCGCCTGCCACCCCACATCGGTGTCGAGCTCCGGGGCTGGTCGAAGGACGCCCGGAGCCCGACAAGTAGGTAGCACACACTGATCGAAAACTTCTCTCTTCAGGCTTAGGGCAAGATTGCTCTTGAAAATTATGCTTAGCTTGCCAGATGCCTGCCAACCGCATTTAACACACCCTTCAATTCCCTTTATTGTACTACCTTCCATTGAGATCCATTGACCAAGGTATATATAGAGATCTTCTACATCTAGTTCTACTCCAGATACAAAAATTTTTCTCAAGGCACATAATATAACGCTAAAATACTATACACAGATACATTATAATGAATATATGAAAGCCTTGATTATAGGTAGAGTCAGGTGATGGAATAAAAGAAATTATAGAAGCTAAACCCATACCAGATAGACAATAAACTAGAATAATACACATTCCTCTGAAGGTGATCAGCCAGTCATTTGACTAGAAAATATGACAGGGGGAATAACAGAAGGGAACAAGCACATGTTCTTTTATTAGTTTATCATACATCTTTAAGGGATATCTCAATAAATGATTACACTAAATCAGTGGTAGTCAACCTGGTCCCTACTACCGACTAGTGGGCGTTCCAGCTTTCATGGTGGGCGGTTTTGTCCCCTATTTTATAAATCACCATTACTGTGGAACCGGTGGGCGGTTAGAAAATTTTACTACTAACAGAGATACAAAAGTGGGCGGTAGGTATAAAAAGGTTGTCTACCCCTGCACTAAATGATATTGGAAAACAGTCTTTACACAATCTGTGGGCATCAGTTTCTTTAATGATACAGTAAGTATTTCCAGTTTTTTGACAAATCATGGATGTATGAAAAAAAAGTTTCCATTAAGGGGCTGCTCATGAGATGTCAACTTGACTTGGATGAAATCACATACTCTTCTAATGATCTATCAACCTACAGGAAGTAACACGCTATCATTTGTTAGACAGATAACAGATAACAGATGGAAGGGACCTTGTAGGTCATCTAGTCCAACCCCCCGCCACCAAAGCAGAAGACCCTACACCATTTCTGACAAATGGCAGTCCAATCTCTTCTTGAAAGTCTCAAGTGATGGCGCTCCCACAACTTCCGAGGGCAAGCTGTTCCATTGGTTGATTGTTCTCACTGTCAGAAAGTTCCTTCCTCCTTATTTCCAGGTTAAATCTCTCCTTGTTCAGCTTCCATCCATTATTCCTTGCCTGGTCTACAGACGTTTTAGAAAATAGCTTGACCCCTTCCTCTCTGTGGCAGCCCCTCAAATATTGGAAGACTGCTATCATGTCTCCCCTGGTCCTTCTCTTTACTAGACACCTGTGGAAAACATTTAGTTCACACAGAATGCTCTGCCTGGTCTTATTAATGAGATGTTAATACCAGCATAGGCCCCATGTAACATCCTAGAAAAAATTATGCATATCCTTCAGAAGTTAATCAGCATACTTCTGACTGAACAAACACTAGCATTAATGAGGACAAGTAAACAAGAAGCTATCTGTGTAGAGAAACTGTGGAAGGAACTCCAACATAACATATTCATGACAAATTATTCATGTCTTCACACACTCATTTTTTTCATCAATCAAGTGAGGCATTAAAAACAGTAAATTTCCCAAGCTACAACATGAGGACACTTCTTAATAAAATGGAAATCCAAAGGCAGAGCTTCAGAATTATGAATGTTCCCAATATGGTTGTTCAGATGTGCATTTGTATGCCAGTCTATTAATTTAAATGATTTTAGAATGAAGTAGAACACTGTATTAACTGTAAAATCAGCATGGTTTTAAAATTAGGAGGAAGAAATCCATCGATAATATGTGCTGTGCTGATGACACTGCTGTGACTGCTGAAATACAAATTTTCTGCAAACCATAGGAGAAAAAATTGAGGAATATAGTGGAAAAAATGAGGTAGATTAAATGGAAAGAAGACTCCATTAATGACAACAAACAGCCTAAGGAAAAGACAGTGAAGACACTGAAGTGATGGGTAATCTTTGCCTCTTAGAGTCAAGTATTAACAGCAAAGAAATAGGCAGTCAAGAAATATGCCACAGACCAACACATAAGAAATCAATAATGAAAGCTTGGAAAAGTTATTCAGATGGTCGGATGTGTCTACTGGAATCATGCAGGAAGTGGTTTCTCTGTCACAC